AAATTAGTCAATATGTCAGAAGCAAAGTAGCTACAGCAGGTTCTAGGACGACTCTAATTTTCATTTAATCTGAGTTTATTGTCCTTCATTTGGATAACGTTTAGTGGATGATTCGGCGTCCTATAGTAGTCGTTGTTAATTGGTGGAAAATTCAGTGTTGTTTTGTAATTCCTGCATATGCACTCTTTAATCATAAATAAAATTGCTGGAAACAAATTTCATTTTTTGATCAAAAAGCTTACTGAATAAAGGATGGGAGGAAGAGGAGAACGTCGACCTCAGAAAAACAGAAAAATTCATTCAATGGGAGAAAATATAAAGCACGATACTTTTATAAAATAAAGGAATAAATGACTGTGTTGTCTTATTCTGACGTTTCTATTATCATAGTGAGTTATCTGTTAACCGTCATTCGCTTACATTTAAATTGTGCAATTCCGGTGATCATGGACGTCCACAATTCTTAGCGCTGCTACTGAATGTCTGGGTTTATTATTTCACATGAACCTAAATATTTAAAAATCGTGTTAAGTTGATTTAGGGCTGTTATATCTGACGTGAAAGTTCATCGGGCGTAACTCGATAACTTTCAGCTAATGTTTGTTGGAATCACTTACCACTAGGTTTAATCTTGTCTTCATGAATACCTGAGCCTTTACGTTGTGCTCATTATGACACTTGCCAAGCACAATATTGATCATATCTTACTAAAATTCACATAACTTCAGGCCAAAATGAAACTTTTGACCCGTCAATATTTGGTAACTAATCTCTGAAACTTTGTATTTGCGGCCTCCACCGTACACTTCCTGATCACTCTTGTTTTACAGAATTAATCTTTGCTTCTCACTTAACAATAACGCACGAAATAAGTTTTTTTAAGTCCATACACATGTTTGTTGCGAGAACTTCGTGAAATCCCAAGGAGTTTCCCAGTACATTGAAGGAAGTCACAATACAACAGAAATGGATAGTGTTGATGCCAACATCACTCAGACCATTTACCTGGAAGAGATACATATGAGAAGGCAGTTACCGTCTGAATGAAATATGGCAATCAATAGAGACACAAACAGATAAACGTAAGACTACAGAGGTATATATCAGAAGGAGAGAGAACGCGTCTTAGGTGTTAGGTTTCGGGATATAGCTAAGATGATCGATCAGGTGTATTCTAGCTTGTAAATCATGTCAAAGTTGTCACAGTATTCGATAACGAAGAATATTTACGAGGCTCAATGCTTGAGGCAGCTTTTAAACGCTACATTCTATAGGCTACTCATTGTTGTGATAGAGAATAGTTTAATTCGTACAGCATCTACTTTTTCTCTCAGATCCTGATGTAAGTTTCTCATTAAGTTATTCCAACCCACAAGACCGGCCATATATTTACTTCTAACCTGCATGAAGTGGTTGTATATCGACAACGTAAGTGATCTGTGTTGATGATGGAGACTTAATGGAGCTGGAAAGGAGTGACGTGACCAACTGTCTTACCTAGAGTTGACACTTTACGGCTGATACCTAACGTCTATTACCCTTACGTCGTATCCAGGTATTATGGCTATAAAGATGACAGAGGTATCGGAGTTTGACAACTCCTTTTCACGTAACATTCTTCTAGTCAAATTAGAAGCCAGAAGTAAAGGGGTTCAAAGATATGCTTGGAAAGCTATCGATGTGTCGACAAGTGTTTGGTCTGGGCTGGCTAGTGGTTGCAAGAGATGTATAGCAGGGTGTTCACACTCACGATCTGTTGAGCAAGTGTGACCAGACTCCTACAGCTAGGATGTGTCCGGTAAAACTAACGAGGTCAGCATCCATGTCAAGGACTTACAAAATCATTTGTTTTGGAGATTTATTTACAGCTTCAGCTCACTCGTACATTAGTGGGGTACTGATGACTGTAAGGCGTGGCCGGCAAGCAGTTTAAACCCAACGACCGTGTCGTTGATGAATGCATGTGCGATAGCTTAATATGTACAACAGTTTCTGTTAAAAAGATTTTGATCAATGGTTTAGTTTCGGTTTTTTGAGAAACAACACACATGTATGTGTGTTCTAAAATATCTGTTTTTCGACACAATAATACAAATAAGCGAGGTACAACAAAACGTTGTGCAGTGACCTATACGCAGTAGTCATTTAAGTGTTCTGGAAACCTAACCCATCTTCTGTAGCGCGTTGTTTTTGGCCCCTTTTCGGATAACTGTGAAGTTTTGACGTGGTCGTTAATTATCGGGGACGGTATCGTAGTCGTGAAGCTAGTATCCGTTCACTTTCGGGAGGAAAGTAAATATAATTAGGGTTTCCTTCTAAATGAGTGACCTCAAGACATTCAATGCTGGTTCCGTATGTAACGATAAAGCGGCACTTCGGTTTACGATGGAGGACTCCGCAGAGTCTTCTGTGTGCGGATAACAACGTACAAAAACGTGTTTACTATGTCGTAAGGCAGGCTAAATGTAAACATCAGTTGTCTGGGGTCGTGTGGAATCAGCTTTAACTAAAGGTAGTGTGTTCGTAAGCCTGCTCACGTTGTAAGTTAGATTTACATTCATCGAAAAAGACAAATGGTCCAACAATTCTCCTGGAAGTTTGAGTGTCATTCAGTAAACCAGTTGTTTCGCGATGCATCTAACTTCATATAACGCTGTGTTACAAGTGCCGAACAACATGAATGGAAGAGCGTCGTCCTATTATGACGCGATTGCAGCTGAGAGTGAAGCCTTAGGCTGTCAATGAAAGCTCCTCATCAATCCGTTTGCTTGTGGGTGGTAAGCAGTCTTTCGGAATCGCGTGGTTCCTATTAGTGTAGTTAGACAATGGAAAAGCCCAGATTCGAACTGGCGTATTGGTAGTTGATGGGGTGTCGAAGTTCACGACTAACCGTTCGACTAAGGTGCGGGCCATTTTTCAGCAGTAATGTCCTTGATGGGTACTGCTTCTGTCCGTCGTGTGAAACGGTCTACATATATTAAAAGGTAAGAGCATTCGTTTCAATCTGGTAAGGATCATACCAAAACAAGTGTCGAGAGTTTTGAATGAACCTAAGGGATATTCGTTGTGTCCAATCACCTTAGATTTTTGGCAGTTTACACACGAGCGTGCTTACCCCCTTATGTCTTTATTCATATCAGGCCAAACAGAGTCTGCGGTGAGCTTGATCGTTGCTCGAACACCTGAACGAGAAAGTTTGTGCAACGTAATTGAGATGATGCGCCGATATTGTTTGGATCCTAAGGGACGATTACAACCTGTAGGTACGTCACGTAGTGAAGTTCACTTACCTGTTCCCATCTGTTTAATAAAGAGTTTCAAGGTTGTCGAAGATAACGTGCTTAGTTTCCTGATTGTGGTCGGTTCTTGGTAATACAGAATGGTTGCAACCTTGATTTTCAGAGATCACATGCCATGAGCACCAATCGTGTGTCCGAGGAAATCTAGGAAGTCATTTCTGATCTGACATTTTCGAACGTTTGCAGTAACGCCGTGCTTTTGCAGTCGTTCGAAGACAAGGTCCAGCAGCAATCAGGGTTATCTATCTCTCGTGATTTAGACAAAGGTTGTTTACACGAAGCTATCTGTTAAGGAGTTTGGGATCGTCTACGGTGATAGTGAATACGAAGGTAACGTGTCGGAGTATAGCAGAGTTCCATAACGTCATTCTGTGTCGTTTGAGGTTTTTCTTTGACTGAATAGACCTCGGCGTCTGAAGTTCTGGCGATCGCCGAAATTCGGTCAGAAGATGCAGCCAGCTCATCTAGGGCGTTGTTTCGAAATGAGGCAAGCATTGCCCGCACCCGTTGAGGAAACTTGGACAATAAAAATGACCAAACGGTCCATAGTCGAAGGTCCGTTGGCCAATGACCGCCCTCATCTATGACATAACGTTTGCTACTGAACCGTGTTATAGATCGATCTTATTGAGCAGTTGATCCAACCTTCGTCGATCGGTTAGTTCTCTGCGTCTGGGAAGAGACCTTTTTAAAGTTTCGTAAGATTACGAAATATCTCTAGTGAACATACTAGGTGTGACGTACCTGTTCAATTTGAACGGTAGTGCCTTCACTACCGTGATGAATTGTGAACGTGGATCAGTCACGCTGTGCTTGTGGAAGTCAGCTTCCGAGTAGCAGGACCAGTCTCCTATTTTGTTGGGCCAGAATGGCATTAGCTGGGATGACGGTGGCCTAAGAGTCTTGATCTTAAGTAACCTGGGAGTCTGTTCGGTCATGACGAATATAAAGTATAGCAATGAACAAGAAGAAAAATCAGTAAACACGTAAAAAATTATCGAAGCATATAAAAATCAAAGTAAAGAAATGATATATAAAGTTCCAACAAGGAACACTCCTACAGTTTACAAATAGGTATATCAGATTTCGTCGGGCTCAACACTGAAAGTGCCACAAGTATTTTGAGTCTGACAATACCTTAACTGGTAACACTTATAATCAAAACGAGCCGACCCAGGTAAATCAGGAGTCAGAAGCAAAGAGTTTAGAAGATATGTTTGATAAGCTATCGATTTGTCGAAAAGTGACTGATATGAGCTGACCAGCGGTTGTCGGAGAAGTCGGGCACGGCATACCCACTCATGATCTAATGCAGACGCGTGACCAAGCGCCTTCAACTAAGTGAGTCCATTAAAACTAATGCGGTCAGCATCAATTTTCGAAGACTTACAGAGCTACTGATTTTGGGGACTTATTTACCGCTACACTCATATGAGGCTAATGTATAGTTGAGAAATTTTGAAATCATATCCGAATCGAACAGAAGGTTCAAACTGTTCTGATAATAAAAGACAGAGGATGAGGTTAGTTAACACTCACTCCTCAAGGAACTCAGTCGGTCGTAAAAGTAGATGTATTTTGTGTGGACTTCAGTGAAGCATTTGATGTGCGACATAACAAGCTACTAGTGAATTTTAAATATCTGGCAATTTTCGGACCTCTATTAAATTGGACTAGATTAGTACCACTGAAGACTGAAGTTAGAGAATGAGCTTCATTGTTTGAATTACTGAATGAACGAACTTTAAAGGGTTTGCGTTACGGCATTACGTGTACGCATCATGGGTCTGACAATCTCATCGGTCTTCCAAAGATTATTTGGGAAGAAGTCCATGAGGATTTTAATGAGTGAGAGAGACCAGTTTATCTTTTTGTGCTATTATTGTGTATCAGATCTTTCAGTGACAACATGCCTGATATAAATGTTGTTTCTCTGTATATCGAGGTTCAGCTGGTTATCTTATTGTTATTAACGTATGTAAACTTTTAGTTACACTCCGTTATTTGCTTCAGACCATTAGTTAATGTTCCTCTGTAGAACCGAGTCAGAAACTATATACACATAGGAAACAGGTTGTTGAGCATTGCCGCCTAGTACTTATTTCACTGACTTAAGAGCTTTCTGAGCAACCGTTCAGCGTTGACATTAGTTTTTCTGGCCCTTTAACGCATAGAGTTTGGTTCAGGAACGTACATGTTTCACATGGTCCCTTATTCCGCCGGACAAATTTTCCTAGTATTAATATCATAAATCAGAAGTGCCAAATTGCTTTGTATGTTGTGTAGTATTCCACGCTACCTTTAGACATATATGTAGTTAGGCGTATGTCTATGTTTTTGACACTACATGAGTAAATTAATGGTTAAATACCTACACCACGCTAGCCGTGTTACCTTCGTACCACATGACATTTTCTATTTGGCAAATGTGAACAAGTTTTGTGTCAGGTGTCTTTTTATGGGGAAGTGTGTGTACATTTCACAGTGGTTGCACAGTAGCTTGAGTAGACTACGCTAATCACTACTTGTGTGACTGCACCATCTATCGTATCTAGGTAATAACGCAATGTGAAACTCGCATATTATCTGGAACAGTCGACTTCCAAGTAGTAAGTCTCATTCAATCACCTTTTCAGTTGCTTCGTGAGTATCATTATTTTCTATACAAACTGTGACTTAGGTCCAAGTGTATAATACCATATTTTATCAGTTGTTTGTCTATGGCGATCACTTGTTTTCATTTCTGTTCTATGGGTTGAAAGTAATTTAATTCCTGAAGTTCAAGAACCTTAAAGTTAACATTGTAGATATTAATTAGATATAAAAATACGTTGTCTTTAATATAAACAGATAAACACTTGTCTTGCTATGCATCACAAAATTGGTTACAAGTAATGTAAACCTTTAAAACCATCTACGAGTTTACATATTTGACCTTATACCACATTGATGTAAAACTTTTCAGTGTCACGTAGTCCAAATGAAGGTAAAATAAATCTTATGACCAATCGGATAACACCGATGTGCGTGAAAGTTGTGTGTGTGTATCTACTCTCAATCACCAAGTCGGATAAGATTTTCTTTAAACGTTTTTCTGGAAATCCATTTGGTTTGGCACACTTCAACTAAAAGCTTGTAATGTCTTCCATTTTGTTTTTTGCTTTTAACCTCGGTTGTTTTGTCCATGTACCTTTACCATATGAAGTAATCTGTTTTGATTTTTACAGTCGGACTTGATGCTGCAGGGAAAACGACAATACTGTACAAGCTTAAGTTGGGTGAAGTAGTCACAACAATTCCAACAATTGGATTCAATGTAGAAACTGTAGAGTACAAAAATATTAATTTCACAGTATGGGATGTAGGTGGTCAAGATAAAATTCGACGCCTATGGAGACATTATTTCCAGAATACACAAGTAAATTTGATGTGTTTATCACTACGTTCCAGGGTCTCATATTTGTGGTTGATAGCAATGATCGTGATCGTATCAGTGAATCTGCTGAGGAATTGAATAAAATGCTTTTAGAGGATGAACTACGAGATGTTGTTATTTTAGTTTTTGCAAACAAACAAGATTTACCGAATGCCATGTCTACTGCGGAAGTTGCTGAAAAGTTGCGTTTACGCGATATTCGAAATAGACCTGTAAGTGGATAAGTTGAATTTTTCTCATTTTTTGTCACTCCTTTATTAACATGTAGTTATGTAGTTTTATTCACTTTACCGTGTAACGCAGCTGATTTTTGTTCAGTATTACTATCTGTGAATCAACGTATATGAAATAAAAGACTAGGATAGAACCGTCCATTGTGATTCTAAAGTGTTTTTGCTGAATATGAGATTAGAAGTTAAGATCACATACCATTTTATTTTGGAAACGAGCAATATTTAAGTGTGCTTCAACGATATCAGCAGTAGCCGTTTTAATACCAGATGGTGAATTGTATAATCTCGTTAAGTAACACGTTTCGAATAAACTAATCAGGTAAAAGTTTTTCAAACTGTATATCACTTCTCCACAAATGTAGTTTTTAAAATGAATTGCAATGTATATAGATCATAAGTACATTTTACTTAATCACTAGGGAACTAACTTTTAATGGCTATCTGTATGCTTCATTTGTCTCTATTAGCAAAAGTTCATCCTGCTCTGTTTCACTGGTCTTGCCTATCATGTCAGATAAATGTAGTCTTTGCATTCCTTTGGTTCGGACGTCCAACATACTACTAAACCATCAGCCAACGCTGCGTGTTGCCGTAGACGGTGGTTGAACATGCGTATTACATGTCCTAACCTTTATGTAGTATACTTTCTGGCCTCAACATTGACCACTCGATGATCCTATCATTCATGAGAAATTAGTGCATAGTATTTATTTTCAAATACTAGTAACCTACGAGTATTCTCTATGTTCAAAAGCCGTGTTTCATAACTGTAAAGTAGAGCTGAGTGAATTAGCTGTCAATATATTCGTCGTTTCGGTTGACAGGTAAACACCCCATATATTGCAAGTAATGTACGTCGGCACAAGTCAACTCAGCTTTCTAAACTGGTGTCGAGATTTCATCAGACCCACTTACCAGTGCTGATGATACTCCCGAGTAAGCTAATTGATGTGCTCAGCTACTTCAGTATTTTATGTATTTCGCTCAACAAACTTAAAGGAGCAATCTTTGATCCTGATTGTCTTACTACTACAGTAAAGGTTCACCCAAACTTGATAAGATTTATTTTTCATTAGTAGTAAATTATACAGATAAGCCATAATTCAATTCTTATTCATAAACTACATAACCATATAGTTTAAGTTACGTTTATCATTAATGTACACATCGCGTTGTTTTGTTTCTTTTAAAAATTATGGTCTTAATTTAGTGGCATATACAACTTGCTTGTGCTACTCAAGGTGAAGGACTATTCGAAGGATTAGACTGGCTATCAAATGAGTTATCTAAACGATCCTAGGATGTGAAAAACTTTCCATATTCTTCTTATTATTATTATCATTATTTATTTGGAACGAAATTACAGGTGTTTATCACCATTCTGTAAAAAAAATACTGTTGTGATTTTCTGTTCATGTTGCCTTTTTAATAATCCCTCTTTTTTCTCCCCTCACGATTATATTATGACCTACGATTATAAAGAATGAGAGATTTTTTGTGGTGCATATTTCCCCCCCATGTATATGTGTGTGTATGTATGTATGTATGTATGTACAATGGCTGGTTGAGTTTTGATCATTTTTCAATGAATAATGATAGGATCTATGTTTTCATCCCTAATGGTGGTGTTCCTATGCGATGGTTTACTAAAATTACTATTTTCGATTATTTCCCATATTAATTTTCTATAATATTTTACTTATATAAATATATATACATATACATTTGTATTTTGTGTGCACATATCTTTTAGAATATAGACTATAGGTAAAAAGAGGTAATGGGTATCTATGGTCATTCTTTAATCATAGTGCTTGTTTTTTTTTAATCCATTCCTTTTTTCTAAATTATAATTCGACTTTTACATGGTTGTTGTTGTTTTCTCTTTCGCTTATGCTCGGTTGGAGAATATAAATGTGTTTAGAGTGTATACTAGTTATTCTGTGAATCACAATTGATTAATCACTGGGTGGTGATCAATTTCATGCTTGTCTAGTCCTTATTAGTGCAGATCGAATGCTATCGATCATGTTCCAATGTGGCCACCAGTCTAGGTGATTCGACACTGCGGGCACTACATATTGAGATTAGATTGTGAATACTTCGAGTAACCATAGGTTACTGCTTCCAAATGCCCTGGTACGACCGAGAGTGGGGAGATTAAGCTCTCCTCGAAATGCTCTCACATGGCTATGTACAATCAGAATCAATCACAATGTCGTAGATGTATATACTCTCTGTCTTCCCTTAAACCGTGAGATTAAAATTGCTTTATATCTTTCTACGAACTAATTCTTTCTTCCTGTGCTATATCCTTATTGCAATCTTTCTTTTACATATTAACTACTTTCATAAATCCGGTGTCCATCTTGTGTTAATGAGGTATGGCAACTTGGACGGATGGATATATGTGCCTGGTCCTACGTTGTAGCTGACTGACTGGCGACGCACATACAGCCACTGTCAGGGAAGTCCTACTGATTGCATTCTAGCGGTGGGAGTGTTGTCTACGAAAGTGAGAGAACGAAAATCGGATGTCCGGCGCTTTAACCGGGTTGGTGGATACAAAGGGTTCACCTAGGAGAGTTGGAAAACCCTAATTTCAAACCAGTGATGCATGTGGGCTCCAGGATCCTGAAGGAACAAATGGCGTATGAACTTGTTGGTCACCGACTACCACGGGACTGCACCTTCTGACGTTGTTTCACTACCTTGTTGATTAGTCGTCAAGGTCAAAGACTCGCGAAGTGGCTCCCTAAGAAAACCACATGCTTCAGTTTGGGATTCCGGTCAGTATTCCAGCCCTCACACAGATCGAGTGACTTATGTGGCGCATATCTATTTGGTGCCTCCTTGTACCAATATTTGTGTGTTTAAATGAAAATTAAAAAAACAGTTCAATTAAGTAACAGTTGCTGCTTAGGATTCATTCCAATTTTAATTGTAAACATGCTGATATGTATCTCTGTACTTAACCGCATTTCATATCAATACATCAAGAGTAACAATGGATTTCCTTTTCCCTTGTATTAGAAGGAGACAAGCAGACAGGTAATATGTTCGATAATTATAATGAATAGACCAGTGCTAGTTCATTTATCCTAACATGCTATTGTCATATTCTGATATGTCAATTGTTTATTGATCTTGGATTTTGGGTATTGCACGAGATCTTATATTCTAGCTTGCAAACTGAAACGATCAGCAGTTGAGACATTCGTTTTTCGAGCGTAGTGTCCATAAAAAATTAGCAACAATCTAAGTTGTATTTCTCATGAAGGTTTTATTTTCGACTCGATGTTGTAGTTGATTGGTGCCTGAAAAGATGTTAAAAATAGTTCCCATATTATGGCATATGAGTGTTTAATTCTTAATGAATCCATTCTAAACACATAAGGACTTATACCAACATATTTAGGTCATGTAGCATTGTTTGTCTAGTTAACGCCTATTATTGGTTAGATCATTGTATTGTATTTATTTATCCATGGATTACATATGATCTAGCGGTGACTTAATGATTTGAGTTACAGCCCCGAATTCTGCTACACCAATATCTGCTATGAAGTCAGGGTAGTAATATTACTTAGCTTCAGACAAACAATGTTAGTCGAAGTCGTATACATTATAAATTTGTACTTGAAATACACCGTGTATTATTGAGTCGACTTTAGACATAATATACAATCCGGTATAAACGACCATCAGCATAAGACGTCAAACCGCATCAGACGGCATAATGAAATTACCAAGAGGAATAGCAACATAGTCGAAATAATAATGGCATCAATTATAGTGCCAAAGATTATGCATTACAGAATACATTTCAAAAAGAAGTGATGAATTTGCAAAAGAGAGTATTAAACAGCATTGATAAAGCTCAAAATTTTGAAGATGGAGAATCAATACAGCTGACCATTTCTAAGAAGTTTCATCCGGCTACAACCGTTGGTTTTACTGCCCCTAACTAGAGTAGAAATTCAACAGCCCAATCAAACAGTAATTGATTTTAACGATTATTAGAGTGGCTTGTTTTATTTCTTTCTCCAAACAACATTGTATCAAGGTAGATGGTAGTTAGTGATACATTAGACTTTCCAATTTACCTCGATTGATAGTGGTTAAGAGTCTTTTTGATTATACATTTGAACAAGATTGAAAGTGCACGATTACTCCTATAGGGAAAATGGATATGATCAGTAATTAACAGTTAACACTGAGTCAGATTTATATCAGTTTGCTTGTTTATATGCATGAAATAAGCTCATACGATCTGGTATAGTGTTACTAGTCAAGTAATTTGGATCCACAAAATCCATCTGATGTTAATCAACATATGCTCACTAGTGACTGGCCTCAAGAGGTATATCCTGGAGTTCTAGTGAGAAGCATGACCAGTGGGGTTCAACCAGGTCTGTCGTGAGATAGTAACTCACTGAAGACAGTGGTGGATGTGTCGCTCAATCTCGTGGATTAGTTGAAGTTAGACATTAACACCGTGTGATCCCGGCTGGCGGATAAGTGCTCGCGCACGAAACCAGTAGGTCCGGAGTCCGAACCCCGCAGGGGGCGAGGTTGTGGATGCGCACTGCTGAGGAGTCGCACAATAGGACAAAACGGCCGTCCAGTGTTTCCAAGTTTTCCATGGTGGTCTAGCTTCAACTGACTCATGATCTTAACCATTGAAATTTGGATATGTTTACAGAAAAAAGGGAAAAGGGAATGTACAACCTTGTACCCATGTAAAAGTAATCCAATGTTAAAATAAGATCAATTTTTGTTTTAAAACTGATATTCCAACCTATAGATTTGATGAAAGTATGAAGTTAGAGATCAAATGTCAACATGTTTACATTGATAAAGTGTTTCACACTTCAGTAATATGGAAGGGATGTTTAATTATCCAATAGATCTACTCAACAGACGTACCAGTTCATTTAAGCAACGAGTATTTGCAGGTTATCTTATTTTGTTCAATGAATTTACCTCGCCGATTATCCTCTTTTATTATTGAACATAGTAATTATATGGTATGTTAAAAATAGAAGTTCAGTCTTAGACTAGTTCATACTTTAATGACCAGAAAGGGGTTTTATGGATATTATAGTAAGTTTTAGGTTCGAATCTCGTGAGGCGGGATCATGGATGAGTGTTGATGAGGAGTTCAAAACTAGGACGAAACGGCTGGCCAGTGCTTCCAGGTTTCCCATGGTGGTCTAATTTCACTTGACTCATGAATTCAACTATTACAATACGATAATTAAGAATTCGATACAATAATGACTAGTGATGAATACCATAGTATGAGCGTTAAATTATTTCAGATGACTCTCTATCTCATATTTTAGGTTATCACATTTTTCAAAGAAATCGTATTCCACTACATCAACATTCTGTTGGTAGATCATGATATATGATAACAAGTTGGTGTGATATTGTCTTAGTTATACTTAAATTAAAATCCCTGATGCTTCCGCCGCCCTGGATTCAGTGAGCTGATGTGTTAACATCTACTGCCTCATATTCTAAAGCCCCAATCATAATATAGGAAAAGATAGATGTGCTCATGCATCCATATATATCAAAGCATTGGACGACCGTTTCGTTCTAGTATGGGACTCCTCAACATTGCGCATGCACGGTCCCGCCCCGCGAGGTTCCTAAGATTCCCTGATCTTTATGCGAAATTCGACTATTTTTACAGTCGAACGTATTGTTCAAATGTCGCGACATGTTGTTTGACAATGTTATGTCCACGTCCTTTAATACTTATACCTGAGGAAATGAAGAACCACTTCAATTCTTACGACGCAAAATAAGAACATCAAGACTGGTACAAATGAAGAATTATTAGACCTCAAAACACGACGATAACAATGCTAGTCGCAAATACACTCATCTATATATTGATTATACACCCGTTGTAGCGCATGAGAACACAAGTGTTGACAATCAAATGTATTAGAACACAAACTTACAGAACATCTTAATAAACTCTGAGAAACATACAGTAAATAATTCATTTGCAAATTGTCAATCAATCGTCTCAGGCTTCATTGTTCTATTATCACATCAATCATTTACTGTCCTCATTCTCTTTTATTCGATCTTCTTAACCTTCTGCTGCCAGGCATTTCAATTTCGATTGACGATACATACTACCTGTATTTGTCGGCATCAGTAGCACACAGCACACCGTTTCGATTTTTATTTAGGATGAAGTCACATCTACAGAAAATACCCAGAGTACTAACAAATCACATGCTGCATGTCATATGGAGTATAGTGCATTATAATTTGATACAATAACATCGTCTCTTGAACAAATAAATTAATTTCAATAGTTGAAATCACGAGTCAATTAAAGCTAGACCATCATGGAAAACCTGGAAGCACTGGACGGTCGTTTCGTCCTATTGTGGGACTCATCAGCAGTGCACACCTACGAACTGAATAAAATACTGAATAATATATCGCACTAGGAAACAAAAACAAATACTAAGCCGAGTAATCGTCATACTGAATTAAAACGGGAAAATGTTTAACGAAAATTACATTGGACAAAAGAAACTAAGTTTGCTTTTTAATCCTGTCATATTGGATACGTAGGTGGTATTTGTGGAGAAGTTGAAGAAAGCTCTCACTTCGCCTTATCAAATGTTTTCTACAGCTGGAATAGTTTGTTTTGTAAATGATATTTGGCCATCAACACTCAGTAGATAAGTGGATAACACGATGCTGTTTGAAGCGAACGGTACTGGATATGAGTCCCAAAGCAAACATCAAGTCTGAGATGTAGGTGCATCAAGTTGACTAAACGCGCGTCCTAGATTCCACTGCTAGCCACTAAACATCTTTGCATACAAAGCATGTGACCTAAGGGAATATTAGGGCAGTCCGCACAGAATGTACAATAAGAGATGCTAATA